GAGGAACAGTATTAAGAACTGCTGCTTTAGAACATTGATTTTGAAACTTGTGAATCCATTAGAATCGTTAGAAGACAGAATCGCGATTCATATATGAATAGATTTTTACGTGCACCTCTAGTTTTCTCTTCCTCTTCTCTAAAGCAGCGCAGCATGGCCTCGCCCCCTTTGCTGCGTGTTCCCGGAGGGGGGGTTTATGTAAAATTCTGGGTTCTTGACGTAACGGACCCGGGAAGTAACTCGTTGTAGTCCCTTACCAGTCGTTTTTGTAGGCATTAAACTGCCGGAATTTTAAAAGACGATATCTCCGTTTGCATTGAACTTTCAGCTTCATAACTTTGCAGATATTGTTTATGATCAAACAGCAACATTACACACTAATTACACATTAACATTACACATTAATTAACATTAAAAATGGTGACCCGTACTCGGAATTTGTGCTCTGCATTTCACCCTTCCAAGTGCACACACACACACCTGGAGCAGTGGGCAGCCAATGCTGTGGCGCCCGGGGAGCATTGGGGGTTTGGTGCCTTGCTCAAGGGTCTCACCTCAGTCGTGGTATTGAGGGTGGAGAGAGCGCTGGACATTCACTCCCCCCACCTACAATCCCTGCCGGACCTGAGACTCGAACCCACAACCTTTGGGTTACAAGCCCGACTCTCTAACCATTAGGCCACAACTGCCCCATTACATGTTGTTTGAACATTAATGTGTATTGGAAGTGTGTGTACACATCCACGCTATAATGATAAAAAATCCACCCAGTGTTTTTTTTTTACATCCCTATTTTAAAATCCCCTTTCTCAAATCAGGCTGTTCTGAGGTTCCTGGCAGAATGATGTAGTTCTGCACAGGCCGCTCCCACGATAGTTGATTGACAAGGCCATCTAACCTTAGACGCGCCTTGAGTTAGCTTTGAGCTGTCCGCCCTTGTGTCGACTCCAGTGCCGGGGAAGACAAGAATGTCTCAGATTAAGCGATTGAGGTGTTTTGTTGTTGAATGTAATAATGAACATAGCAGTCGTCATTTACTCCCGACGTCTGAGCCGCTGGAGACGCAGAGGATTAACGTTACTTTCGTTTTTGAAGGGAATACGCCGATCCCCGATCTGCCTAAATGCGTCTATGTTCGCGCGAATCATTCGTGATCCAGCTTCATCTACAGAAGAAGTGAGTATAAGGGTTATTTATGAATCTTTGCAAATCGCCTTTCCTAATAATGTGCTAGTTTGCGGCTAAATGCGGCTAAAGTTTACAATCTGCTCATCACCCCATGGAAGAGAGGGGCGGGGTGAGCAGAGCTCATTAGCATTTAAAGCGACATGCAAGGAAACCGCTTGCTATGAACCGAGCTGATTTTGACAAGGTAAAAAGGGTGTTTTTTTTTTTTACACTTCCATTGAGAAATTTTAACAAGTATGTTATAGACCTTTCATTATGACCCTAAAGAATCATATCAACTTGTGGAAAATGGGCATCCCATGACCCCTTTAAAGGTTGTTGACACTGACGGTGATTTGCAACATCAATGCGACCATACATCATTCATTTTAACGCGAGTCTGTGAACCAGTGACATGATGCCGCACTTCCGTCACCTGATACATTTTAATACAAAACACCTACTTGGAAACCATCAGCGCAGCGACTCTGTGACCTCCAGCTAAACACTCTGTAAGAACACAGGGCTGCAGTTCTACAGGCAACATACTGTATATGGCTTAAATAGTTGTACACATCTCTACCACACCTTTCATTCCTCCCTTTCCATCTCTTTGCGTGACCTGTTCTGGACACTTGATCCAACCGAGCTGATGAACTGTTTTTAATGCAATTTAATCATAGAAGTAGATTTTTAAAAAGTTATGTTTACTTGTAGAGTTTAGGTTAGCCTAATTTATATTTATCTTTAATTGAAAGAAAAAAAGTATTTAGCATTTGGATATATTTGGAGTTAACTATTACATAAGCATAATCGTTGTTCGGTAGTCAGTATGGAGAGAACAGCTTCACTGTGCTTCCAGCACACACACACACACACACACACCCCTATAGACTGTCTAATTCTATCCGGAATGATTTAAGCATCAGCAAATGCTTTATAGATGATCACTTACAAGCTAGATGCTCTCAGCTCAGTCCAGGGCAGTGTATTAGATGTCCTTTTATTTGAATATGCTGGATTCTCCCTGCATTTTCGGTGCAGCAGGCATAAACAACCACAACAAGAGCAATTGTTTGCAAGCCAGAGACAAATGACGTTTTTCTTATGGCAGAATCTTTCCCAGACCGGCTCATCCAGCTAAAGATATTTGCAGCAGAGGGCTGTCCTAGTGGAAATATGCAGGCCAGCCCAGGAGATAAATCTTTAGGGTGTTTGATGTAACTTCCTATCGGCCTGAACAGTCTTTTAGGTTTAGTGTGGCTTATAGATACTGCTGACACAGTTAAACAGACAGGGTGGCTCACACTCTACTGCTACAATAAAGTTCTCACCAATAATGTCACTGACCCATCTTTTGACCCTAAAGTTTAGGCCTAAATCCTGGTTTCTAGTTATAGGCTTTTTTATGTGGATTGAACACAATGCTGTGTAATCCCATGGGATTAAATGAAATCAATACCTTCTCCTTTGCTGTAACACAATCCTTCAGCATTTTTAATGAGCACTGTCAGTAAAAACCAGAGCTGCATCCCACTTTCTGTTTCACGTGTTTTGTTTTTATAATCACCAGCGTTGGCAAGCTAATTTGGTTAAATATCTCTTGACACAGAGCTAGTTTTGTATTGTATATATTCGTATTATTACATAGTTTTTACAGTAAGTACTATTTATACTTGCTTGTAGTTATTTGTATCTCAGTGTGCAAATAGTCATTACAAGTAGTGATGAAAAAAATCTGTCTGTACGACTAATTTTGAACAAAAATATGCCTCTAATTGACCTCTAACAATAGAAATAACCTAATAAAAGAGATGGAAATAGTCTTATTTTTTTTGTCTTTTACAAGCTACAGTAGAGGTTTTCTGCATGAATATTTAGTTTTCTTCATAGTAAATTTGACCCTTTAATGCTAAGGTTTTACCCAGGAAGTTTAAGATGTACATTCACATGCATTCAAGGTGTAGAGAAAATGTTATTTCTATAATGTTATTGGTTAGACCATATGATATTTTAGAGACATTAAATGAAAAATTTTCTTGAAAATGGTATAAAAGTTTTGCAAAACCCTGTGAAATCAACATGAATACAAAGGGTACATTTCTTACTTGGCATATGCTTTTTAACTGCATTATTGAAAACATTTTCCTTTATTTTGTGTGCTGTTATTTGTCATTGACACTTATGTATAATTTAAAACCAAACATTTGATTTTTGTTTTATGTGAAACCAAGATTGCAAAAGCACATGGTTTGTTAGTTTATTTAATGGGATGTATATCAGTATATCTTTATTCCTGACAGTAATTGAGACTCCCTTTTCTTCAGGCTATATCCTCAGTCTGGTGTTGTTGACTTTACCCCGGCAGCATCTGGTACAGCTCTACCTCTACGTGCTCACAGCTCTTCTGCTCTTCGCGGGACACCAGCTCTCCAGGTCTGTGCTCACAGCACCCTTTGCTTGACTGTATAAAACACAATGACACATTGGGTTTTAAGTGCTGACACGTTGACAGTTCTTGTAAACACACACACACACAAATAAAAATGAGTGCTTGACACATTGTGACAATTAATGCAACTGTTTAGTAGTTATAATGACTTTCAAACAAACAGTGCTCACTGACTGGTGTTCCTGCAGGGATTACGTACGTGGAGAGCTGGACTCGGGTTACGAGGGACCCCTCTACCTGGAGCCACTGTCCATGAACCGCTTTACCACAGCACTCATCGGTACGTCCTGCATCATCAGCTCCAAAACAATACCAGATTTTGTTCTCTTTACTGATGCATTTGTTCCTGACACATTATGAGGGATGAGGTACTCTCAACTAGACATGTGCCAGTATTCGGTAATGCGATATCACAATATTGTTATCGTGGGCGCTTCAAAATGCAGAGAACAATTATTTAATACAAATTATTCAGAATTTTGAATGCATTTTAAGAATACTTTTCCCGTCAGCTGGTCACAATGCACAACACCACTGTATGCTGCTTCAAAGCCGCGTGTGCACTCTGATGTAAACAAGCACGGATGAGAAGCACATGGCGGAGCGCGTGAGAGATGCTCTGGATGAAAGCGCATTCACTCTCTGACAGCAGATGGCACTGAACAGCAGAAATGCAGCCATTACCCTGGAAATCCCATAAACAAAGCAGCAGCTGCTACTTTTTGAAACGTATTTAAATGATTTAAATAGCGATTCAGATTTTTGTATTCGCAGTGGTGTTCATCACAGAGCCAAATACTTCAATATTTAGACTTAATAGGCTGTTTATTTTCAAACCTTTTAACATTTGAATCTGGACTACAGCATGCCCTAGATATTGTTTGAAAGTGATTTTTTATTGTTCGGTCACACTTTACATTAGGGCTTCATTAGTTAACATTATTTAATTCATGTATTAAACCGAGACGATGCGCATCAAAGTTTTAGTAGAAAAAAGCGTTTCAAACAGTCCTCATCTCTGCAGCACAGCTGGCACACCTGCTAAACGCAGCTCAGATGTGCAGCATGAGAGAGATCGAAATGATGGAGATGTGCAAGTAAAAGTGCACAAAAGCACTATTTCGTGCACAACATGAACAAACTACAACAGATAAAGCTGTCAGCTCTAATTGTTAACAATTATCGTCTATATTCATTAATATTAATTATATTCATTAATATGGCTTCTTGCAGTCCAGTAATCGCAAAAAACTTTGTGCTTTGTTACTTTTTAATAAACAAAGTATCAGCTTTAAAATTATGCCAAATTCCTAACGAAATTCAAACAAATACGGTTTTGGCGCTCTTTAATGCAGCAGGCGCGACCGCTTTAGTGCCTCAGTTCAAGTGGCAATCGAACCCATTATATCTTTCTCTTTACTACTATAGTACATAATGAACATGGATTAACATCAAAAGGTAAGCCATTTTATAAGAGAGCCTACAGTACAACTTACTGAAATGTCTCATGTAAAACTCATTCGGTGTTTCAAACTGCGGAAAACGTGTAAAGTAAACATTGCAATGTAATAATACATTTACCTCAGAATAACCATTCAGTGTCAACAAGCTCATCACTCAGCTAGAAAAATAACTATAAAGAGGAGCATTTTGCTATATTTATGCGCTATTGAATATTCATATTTTTACTTAACCTGTTGTCTACATGATTCGACTCCTCCTATAAAATTGCATTTTACTAATGAAGAAAAACAGACTGAGGGTGTTCTCACACTAGGCACGGTTGCCTTGAACCGAGCCCGAGCGCGATTATCCCCACTCCCCCGCTGGCCTACACTCACACTTGCACTAAACATTCCGGGCCGGAGCACGCTTACGTCATGTATGAGATAACGGAGAAAACCACTTTCGCTAATATCCTGCCGAATAATTAATAATAATTAATTTATAATTTATGCCGTGCATTGATTTTCACTTGTATGAATCAGAAAATTATTACGGAGGCAGCTGAGGTTAATGAAATAATCTGCAGCTTTACTCGCAAACTACATTTCCTGTTCATCAATAAGGTAAGAACCAGACCCATTATAAACCTAAATATACTTGATTAAATTAAATTAATTGAAAAGTGTAGTGTAGTAGTAGTAATAGAATATGTTTGCGGTAGTTATGATGATATAGCGCACACAAAATAGTATCTGTTCCGTGCTCCGGCGCGGTTAGCGCTCACACTGCATGCGTACCGAGCCCAACCGAACCGTGCCCTGGCCCACCTCTTCCAACCGGGCCAGGGCGGGCTAAACGAAGCGCTCGCACTAGTCAAACGAACCGGGCTTTGGGGGTTCAAAACACCTAGTGTGAGTACACCCTGAATGTGTGAAAGACATATGACAACATTTATAGGTGGCATTGAGGAGGAGCCCAAACTACGCTCAGTGGCCAAGTGATGCTTATGGTTCATGATATTGGTACAGATTCTGTGTAATTCTCCGTGACTCTATATTTCAAGTTGGAAAAGACATTTAGTTCCCACTTGAAGTGAACCTTAGTCATCTACAAGATGGATTAAAATGCTGATAAAGTCAAGAAAAGATGAGACATGAACACATGACAGTATGATTGAAATGTTAAAATGTAAAAAAAATTAAATAATAATAAAACACGTTTATTCTGAGGCTCCTAAAAAAAATAATTTGGTGCCTACGTTTTTTTTCTTATAGGAGCCAGTGGCTCCTTACTCGATATTTTTGCCTGGGGCCCTGTTGAATACATTTCTAACTAATTTAATTGATTTAAAAAAGAGTGAAACTTTATCTCAAGGTAGTAAAACCCAAGACATTGTCACCTAATCAGCTTTTATCAACATATGTAATAGAGGTGGCATATAGAATATCAGTTTGACAGGTCATCCATTGCTTCAAAAGTTAAAATAGGATAAAAGAGAAGTAAGCTAAAACAGGAGTAACACTCTGCAGTAGAACAGAAATGGCTAAATTTGTTTTGGCTCAGTTCTGTATCAAGGAATGTTTTCCATATTTTTAGGAAGTAATGGATGTCACTAGGGATGCTCCTATTAACCGTTTAACCATTAACCGGACGTAAAAAAATTGACAGATTAAAGTTTTTTTTTTTTTTTTTAAGGATCCCCCCCACCCCCACCCCACCTGCATGGTGAAAGAAAAGTAAGCTATACATATTTGTTTACCCACGGGAAAAAACAACCCAGGGCATCCATTTAAAAGTAACCCGATTCCGTGGAAAAAAACGTGTACTTCGCAACCCTGCATTCAACACGAGCTTGACTGATCACGGGTAGAGAGTAGGATAGATGACTGGCAGACCATGCTGGAGTATTTGCTGCTCAGCAGATCCTGAACTCACTGACAAATATCTGATCTTGTAAGATTAGATGTGCTCCTTTACACAGAGTGCGCGTGAACGCGAAATCGAAAGTGAACAGCGAGCGCGCATTCAAAAGCGATTTCAATACCCGCCCGCATATTGATAGTGCGAAAATGATAAACAATATAAGAATGTTTGCAGGAGCAGGCACAAAAATCCCGGGAGCGGAACACACACGTTGCGGGAGTGGGCGGTAATGGTCAGAAATTCAGCAGGAGCAGCATTACGAAACTGAGCTCTAATTCAGACTATCCGCACAGCACGTCAACAGTTTAGGCTAATTTTATTTTTTTTAAACAAAAACTAGACGCATTGTGCACTGAGGTAGACCTGCTATTTATTTTTGTCTGATGGAAAAAAGACTGTTCTTTTTATTTGTTATTTTATTCTGTTTTTCCTCTGTTCTCAGTAGCGCTGCAGGTATGTGATAATTTGACGATGTGTGAACCCAGGTTCTGTTGTTGCTCTGTTGTTCTGTATGCTGCTGTTTGCACGTTAAAATAAACCCGTGAAAAAAAATATTTTTAATGGGTCAGACACTCATCCATTGTATTTTTATTTAATACAAATTTATTATTCTAATCTTATCAGTTAACGGTTAATGTTCGGATAACAAGTAACGGTTGTCGGTCAGGAAAATTAACCGAAATGAACATCCCTAGATGTCACAAGAACTTGTACTTCTTTCTAACATATGTAACTGTTTCAGCAAAGTCACAATTTACAGAAGTCACAATGTACAAATTCCCTGACTTTTCCTGGAAAACCATGAAAAATATGGGTTTGGAAAAATCATCGAATCCCTATAATAGAATTTTTGTAAAATACTTTACTTTAGTGTTTTTGCAAGTGGAATCTGTAGAATGTTTAATAATATCATGGGAAAATTGTGGAAAATCACAGAAATTTCTTGGAAAATAACATGTTTGTAGATATGCCAAGCTCACAACAGATAAAAATTACTCTTTGCAAGTAATAATTACAAAAATGTTAAAAAATTTAATGGAAATTATATATATAAAAAAAAAATCAATCACAGAAAGAGTTTTTTCCCCTAAAATACTGTTAAAAGGGCTCTAAAATATTTCAACTGGTAGAAATGACTCTTTGTAAGTGCAATATCTATAAATATTTTTGCAATCCTTGGAAAAGATTGGGAGTCTAAGTCATGTTTAATCAAATATTTACCTCACTAACAGACTCTCTTTATATCCAGATATTTAATCCTGAAAATCTCTATTAATATAGAAGAATCACACTGCAATACATTAATACATTTAGCACAGTTCACAAAGACAGCAGCACCGCAGGGCAGTTTCCTCATTTTACTTGAAATTAAACTATTTGAATAGAAAACATTCATAGGCAAAGTCTGTGTTTTTGTTGACCAGCCAAATGAAGATGTACGATAACAACTATTAGCCTTTTGATTAGTCATGTCAAGTGACATGTCATGTCAGTGACGCACATACTACCTCCCCTTTGGCAACACCACCACACAATTTGTGCAATGCAACAAAGTTGAAAAGAAAAGGCATTCAGTTATTCATTTGAAATTAAAACTTTTTTGAAATAACAATTATTTGATCCTTTATATCTAAATGCAAAAGTTTCATCCCTTCAGTGAAGAGAGAGTAAACTGATAGACACATAACTTCAGTAGTTAACCCTTTTTGTTTTGTTTGATTTGAGTCCAATTGAGCTGATGTCTTTTATTTGCCCTGTCAACATGGCAAAGCGGATCACATTGTGGGCACTCCCACTGGGAACGTTTAAAGCAGCTTTTTAAAGGAGACATTGATGTGTGTTAGTGTGATGTATTTCTCTTCAGTTCGTCTGTAAGTTAGTGTTTGTTCAGTAAGACTATCCTCTCCCTCAGGTCAGGTCGTGGTGTGTACGCTGTGTTCCTGCGTCATGCAGACCAAACAGATCTGGCTGTTTTCTGCACACCTGCTCCCCCTAGTGGCTAGACTGTGCCTCGTGCCCCTGGAGACCATCGTCTTCATCAACCGTTTCGCTATGATCTTCACCGGTCTGGAGGTGCTCTACTTCATCGCCTCCAACCTGCTGGTGCCGTACAATCTGGCCAAAACTGCCTACAGAGAGCTGGTGCAGGTATGAGTCATAGGTGTAGAGAGTGGGGTAAGATGTGTCGCCCCCTCAATCCTGGGATTTTTTTTTTTTTTTTAGCATTTCTTAGCTTTAGTATGATAGGATGGTAGCTAGACAGGAAGTGAAGTGGGAGAGAGAGAGAGATGGGGACGGGATCGGGAAAGGTCCACGAGCTGGGATTCGAACTCGGGACACCCAAAGCACAATGGCGCTGTACGTCGGCGCGCTGCCCACAAGGCTATTGTCACCAACATTGTGCATTTTTCAAATGTGAAATTACTTTTCTACATGGCAGAATAAATGAATAATTTTTTACAATTTATTTTAAGCAAATTTGTATAAAAATATTTTAGAAAAACAACTAGCTACCGTTAAAGAGTTTGGGTTGGTTTTTAATTAATTGCGGTTGGTTTTAAAGTTTTTGAAAATAGTCTCTTATCCTCACCAAAGCTGCATTTATTTAATCATAAGTACAGTAAGAACAATATATATATATATAGTGAAGTAAAATGAATCATATTGTAATATAAGACTTTTGTCATATCGCCCATCCCTAAATTTTGTATAAACTTTCTTGGTTTGTGAATAATGTGGAGTAAAATAAAATGTTTTTGCCCATCCTACCAGCCAGTCTTTCAACCCTAGGTAACATCCCTGTGTTTCCTGTGTTGTTCTGTAGGTGGTGGAGGTGTATGGTTTGCTAGCTCTGGGCATGTCTCTGTGGAATCAGCTGGTTCTGCCTGTTCTCTTCATGTGCTTTTGGCTGGTGCTGTTTGCACTGCAGATCTACACCTACTTCAGCACACGGGACCAGCCGCCCTCCCGAGAGAGGCTGCTCTTCCTGTTCCTCACCAGGTCTGACTGCTGCAACAGTCCACTGTTTTTAATCAGCATGAAGGGTAGCGTCTACATTAGGGATGCTAACGATATATTGACAATCAAAAACTTATCCATGATCGATTCAGCGCAGTGTGTTCATGCATTTCTTAGCTTTAGTATGATAGGATGGTAGCTAGACAGGAAGTGAAGTGGGAGAGAGAGAGAGATGGGGACGGGATCGGGAAAGGTCCACGAGCTGGGATTCGAACTCGGGACACCCAAAGCACAATGGCGCTGTACGTCGGCGCGCTGCCCACAAGGCTATTGTCACCAACATTGTGCATTTTTCAAATGTGAAATTACTTTTCTACATGGCAGAATAAATGAATAATTTTTTACAATTTATTTTAAGCAAATTTGTATAAAAATATTTTAGAAAAACAACTAGCTACCGTTAAAGAGTTTGGGTTGGTTTTTAATTAATTGCGGTTGGTTTTAAAGTTTTTGAAAATAGTCTCTTATCCTCACCAAAGCTGCATTTATTTAATCATAAGTACAGTAAGAACAGTAATATTACCGAATATTATTAAAACTTCTGTTTAAATGTATTTTAAAATTACATTTATTGCTGTTATGTCAAGGCTGAACTTCAGTATCATTTGATCCTTCAGAAATCATTACAGTATGCAGATCTGGTGCCAAATAAACTTTGATGAATAGAAAGTTCAAAATTACACCTTTCTTATAGAAATATTTTCTAACATAAATGTTTTTACTGTCACTTATGTATTTTTTTTTGTCCTATTGCTCGTAATTAGTTTCTAATTACACTGTTTAATTGCCTTCAGTGAGCTTGATCGTTTTTTTTTTTTTTACTTTTGCACTGCAGATCTACACCTACTTCAGCACACGGGACCAGCCGCCCTCCCGAGAGAGGCTGCTCTTCCTGTTCCTCACCAGGTCTGACTGCTGCAACAGTCCACTGTTTTTAATCAGCATGAAGGGTAGCGTCTACATTAGGGATGCTAACGATATATTGACAATCAAAAACTTATCCATGATCGATTCAGCGCAGTGTGTTCATGCAACAAACGTGCAGCAGACACACAAGAAAAATAAGCAAGCACTTAGGTCTCTGACAGTGATGGGCTGGATCTCTTGCGCGAATAATTCACATTGTACAAAATATGCTTTTGATGTGATCCAAACTTTAAAAGTGCATTAAATAGAAACTAGAAAAATAGAAATAAAATGTTTTCTCCCGATATTCCAAAGCAACTGATACCATTTGTAATTGGACAGAAAAGTGAATATCTTCCGCACAAGCAAGCAAGTCAGGAAAGGCAAAACTGAATACCGGCGCATGTGAAATACTCCTACTACGGAGTGGCATGCTGAAAAAATGGGTATAAAAATAAATATTAATATTTATTAGTTCCTACCACTTATTAATTTGTTGCCACGGTCCACGTTTCATTAATTTAGTTAAATTAAATCTAAGGTACAACGTAGCCATGGTTTAATTAACATGAGGGAACAAATTAAGTCGTGGGAACAAATTCTTAATTTGTGTTAAATTTGTGGAAATTCAAATGACCAACCAACTCGCAAAACAGAACACAAAGCTTAATTAAAATTTGTGGGCTAATGTACCTTTCTCATCCAGCTTGAATCCAAATGTTTCCATGGAGGCAATGTAACATTTGCCTTCTAACCAATTATTTCTCTTGTGAACAAAGCTTTGTACTTCACATACTTCATAATGTTCACGTAAAAAGGTGTTTCATGTGGGCAAAAATGTGTTTTGTCGTATCACCGGTGGTGGTAGCGGTTAGTCATGCTTACTGGCACAGACCTATGTGCTTGTGCTACATTTGGGATTGTTTTACTTTAAATGGTGATAATGTTAATTGCAAACATTGTGATTGTGTTTTAAAATTAAATACAACAATGAGCATCATCATACCATTTAAAAATGGTGCATTCAGCGGTCTCAATGACAGAATATGAAATGGCCAACAATAACCTCCATTTAAAATAAAATGATCCCAAGCGTAACTATTATTATCATGTTGATTCATTTTACAATCCTGCTTACTAGCCCTTTAGTTTTTGCACATCCTGTAATGCTGGTGATTATATGCCACTGCGGTAGAAGCATTTTGAATGATTAGGTTAATGATTAATTGATCATTAATTTAATTGATCATGGGAATAATTGTAAATTGACATAGCTAAGCTAGATATAAACCAGAATGCATTGCAACAAGGATTTGGAACAGCGGAAAATAGGGCAGTAGAAATCTAAATCACTGTTTAACAATATGTAACATACAGTATGTAAATGTTTTGTTGGTTGTGTGTGTTCTCTGCAGTATCGCTGAGTGCTGTAGTACTCCTTACTCTCTGCTGGGGCTGGTCTTCACTGTGTCTTTCGTGGCGCTGGGCGTCCTCACCCTCTGCAAGTTCTATCTACAGGGATATAGAGCTTTCATGAATGACAACGCCGTGCACAGGTGAGGAACTTCCAACCAAATATGCTTACAGTGCTCCATTTCAAAACAGCTTTTTGCAGGGACTTGTATATAGATAAGAGTGTATACAGTAGTTTTTCTCGTTTGAAACAGTGGTATTAATTTAATGTACTTCTTTTTCAAAATCATTGATATATTATTAATAATAACCACCACATTTATTTGTATCTTATTATTTTCATCAACAATATGGTTTAATTAAAATAATTTCATTATTGTCAGTGCGGAGGTTATTCCGTTTAATTTATCCATGGCACATGATTTTTTTTTTTTACACGCAAGTAATGTTGTCCAGTGACTTGTTTGCATTATGCATTATTTCATTTATTTGTAAGGCTGGTTTATGTTTGATTTTATGTTGAAGTGTTTAATGGCTTTTAATGGTGAGACTTTATTTTTGGAATCAGGCTCTCAAAAATTATATAAAAATTTGGATTTAGATTTATCAGGCAACGTATTGGTTATCGGCTTTCATATTTAAAGAATTATCGGTATCGGGCAAAATTTTCATATCGGTGCATCCCAAATGGTGACACAATTTTCTGCTGTTTAGGTTTTTGTGTTTTAGTAATAGGACATTTATGATAGGTTGTCTACCTTTGCTATGGCCAAAGAAATATATACTGTTTCAAAGAAAAACATTTTTTTTTGTCTTGAATATTTTACATAGAAAATTATATATAATGTGTACATTTACAAATGCATATTAATTTAAATGTCTAATATAATAATATATGATGTAATGGATTACACTCTCTCAGGTTCTTGGTACACTTCTGATCTACATCCTCTTCATGGTGGAAGAGTTTCGTAAGGCTCCTGTTGAGAACATGGATGAAGTCATCTACTGTGTCAATGGGACCTACCGGCTCCTGGAGTTCCTGGTGGCCGTCTGCGTGGTGGCCTATGGTGTCTCAGAGACCCTGTTTGGAGAATGGACTGTAATGGGCTCCACCATCATCCTGGTTCACTCCTATTATAACGTGTGGCTAAGGGCCCAGCTGGGCTGGCAGAGCTTCCTGTTGCGCAGAGATGCAGTTCACAAGATCCACAGCATGCCCACTGCTTCCGCATTACAACTCCAGCAACATAATGACATCTGTTCTATATGCTTTCAGGTAAGGAGTGTTTAAGATGTTTTCAGTTCATTTATTCACAACATAAGTTCATTGAATCATTCAAAAAGTCTTTTTGAATGTACTTTCACTGGAGTTCATAACTAAAGTGTTGATCAGTTTAAGATTTTATAATTTTTCATATGTTGAATATTACATGGGCCCTGTTTTATTCTATACCAAGTTAGAGGGTTTAATGTGTAACCCGAACTGATTGCACTATATTCTATGTATAATCGTTTTCTTAAATTCATTTTAAACTTCTTAAATCAATTGTTTTAATCATTTTCAATGTTTTTAAATTCCTTGTTTTATTGTTGTGATTATTTTTTTTTTTCTTTTCTTTTATGTAAAGCTCTTTGAATTACCATTGTGTATGAAATGTGCTATACAAATAAACTTGCCTTGCCTTGCCTTGCCTTACCAAGTTAGAGGGTTTAATGTGTAACTGAGAGAGAATTTGTTTACTATGCACTCTTCACAATTGTTCCAAAAGGGGTTTTTGGTTCCTCAATGAAGCTTTCAGTGATCAGTTCTTAAAATAACCATTTATTTTTTTTCTTAGTATGAAGAATATTTTAATAATCTGAAGACCCATTTGTGCTCTGAAAAGTTTTCATGGATATTAAAGGCTCTTCATGGAACCATCAATGACAATAAATAAACTTCATTGAAGGTTCTTTATTGAAATGAACATTATACCCAAATTAATCTGATTCATAATTGAATCAAATCAAGAGATGTGGAAATCTTTATTGATATCAAGCTTCAGTAGTTTTGCACATGCTTAGTGATACCACTACATACAGTGGGCTCTTGAACAGTTGTTGCCTGTGCTCACCATCATTTGAATCTGAATCTGAATTTGCTCCCGCTAGCCATTAAACCATTTCCTCATTTGTCAACATGTTCATAATTTCACTTCTTATCTTGGCTGTCTAGTTTTAAACATTGTTTCTCACTTCCAGGATATGAAGTCTGCTGTCATCACGCCATGCAGCCACTTTTTCCACGCTGCCTGCTTAAAGAAGTGGCTGTACGTGCAAGAAACGTGTCCTCTGTGCCACGGCCAGCTCAAAAGCCAATTACAGCTAACAAGCTCTCCAGGAGCTGCCAACCAAGGCACTCCACCAGCCAATCAGAACCCAGCAGAGCTGGAACAGGAGCAGGGTGAGCCACAGGTTGAGCTGGACACTGAGGAAGGCACCCAAGCAAAAAACACTCCTCCCATGAAAACCTCAGCCGAGCCAGAACTTGGAACGGACTTGCTATCGGGGAGCTCGAAAATCCAGCCCAAAGAATGTGATATAGCGGCAGAGAGCAGCACCAGCCCAGATGGTGATTTGAATGATGATGGTTCGTGCAGCACGTCAGATGTCCATTCCTCTTCATGAGCAAATGACAACCCTCAACTCTTATCAGCCTGTTAGGTATCGCCACAAACACTTCATATTGCCAAGGTTGAGGACTCCATTAGAAGACCATAGGGATGGTTTACCCTAAAATAAAAGTTCTGTCATCATTTACTCTTGACGTTCCAAACTCTTTTTGTGGAACACAAAAGAAGATATTTAGAAATTTGTTCCAGCTGCTCTTTTCCATATAATGAAAAGGGGACAAAGGCTGTTATATGGAAGCTTATTCCTACCACAGCATAAAAAAAGAATTGCTATCTGACAATTAATTAATTAATTATCTGACAATTTGGACTTTCTCACAATTCAAAAAAAACAACTCTTATCAGCCTGTTAGGTATCGCCACAAACACTTCATATTGCCAAGGTTGAGGACTCCATTAGAAGACCATAGGGATGGTTTACCCTAAAATAAAAGTTCTGTCATCATTTACTCTTGACGTTCCAAACTCTTTTTGTGGAACACAAAAGAAGATATTTAGAAATTTGTTCCAGCTGCTCTTTTCCATATAATGAAAAGGGGACAAAGGCTGTTATATGGAAGCTTATTCCTACCACAGAATAAAAAAAGAATTGCTATCTGACAATTAATTAATTATCTGACAATTTGGACTTTCTCACAATTCTAAAAAAAAAAAAAAAGTGTCAAAATTACAAAATATTAACTCTCAATTCTGAGTTTTTTTCCCACCATGGAATAAAAAATTTGTTGTGAGTTTAATCTTTCATTTACAAGTTAGCATCCCGCAATTCTTTTTTTTTTTTTTTCCCAGTGAATTCTAAATTGTTTAAATCTCGCAATAGTTTTTTTTTCTGCAATTGCGACTTTTTATCTCACAATTATGCGTTTATAGATCACAGTTGAATTGTTAGTTTATATCTCGCAATTGCAAGTTAACATTCCGCAGTTTTGACTTTTTTCCTCTGATTTCTAAGTTTACATCTTGCAATTTTTTTCAGCCACAGATAATAAAAGTAATTGTGACTTTTATCTCGCAATTGTGAGTTTATATTTTGCAATTGCAAGTTAACATTCCACAGTTATGACTTTTTTTCCTTTGAAATCTGAGTTTACATTTCGCTGTTTTTTTTCCGCCACAGAATAAAAAAGGTAATTGTGACCTTTTTTTCCTCACAATTGTGTTTATATCTCAAATTTTTTTCCGGAATTGCGAGTTTATCTCGCAATAATAGAAGTCAGCGAGAAAAGAAGTCAGAATTGTGAGATAAAGTTGCAAGTATGTGTTTTTTCTTTTTTTCTTTTTTTTCTTTTTTTTCTTTTTTTCTCCATACTGTGAAAATATCTCCATACAAGTAGTTTATACAATTCAAAGTATCCTGAAGCTGGGATTACTTTGTGTAGGGAACAGACCAATATGAAGTTGTTACTTAAAATAATAAAATGTTTTTTTTAATATATTTAGTCTGCTGAACTTCACCTTTCGTGTTCCACAAAAGAACATTGTATGAATTTGAAATGGCATGAGTAAAGGATGACACTGTTTAGACTTCTGGAATGAACTGTCCTTTTATGTTGGTCACATGTCTCTCAGCTCAAGGATGCATTTCATGATCTGTTTACATTATTGCTGGTCAGAAGACATTTCAGAATATTGCCCTACAGAGACAAAACATAGTAACTACACATTTTGTTCGTGTTCACATTGAGTTACTAAAATAGGCTTTTAAAAACTGATATCTGTGACAGATGGGTTTGGCACAACTATGCTCAGATTCAGAAAAGCTGAAGTGTAACGATTCAATCAAGAAAGCTTTTTCTCAGATTGAGTGCTGGTGTAGGTACAGCGTTTCATCTTTGTGGGGCATTGTAGTTTTCGGTATGCATCCATATGACTGAAAATGTACATCATCTCTATGGAGGTAATGGATGATTCTTACGCTATACTATTTTGTAGAAGTGTGTGTGTGTGTGTTTTGGAAGCGCATCCCAAATGAGCCACTGTAAAATCTAGACCCCGGCAAAGTCAAACTGGAATGTTATCTAAAGTGCCATTGAGCCAGTTGATCTATGTTTTATCACAGCACGCCTCTTGTTATTTACCCCAGTTTTAAAGGGATGTCTGAGGCTGGGCGGCTTTTTTCATCTATATATTTGTCACTCTTTACCATGTGTCAGAAATAATGTTAAACCATCACTGCGCAAAACGTTAAGTTGTCAGTTTGGCAGTTGGCTTGATTCCTGGAAGCGAGCATTTTCAAAGCATATTGCAGACTATATAAACTAAACCTGTTTTCTGGTTTTAAAGAACATTAGTGGGTGGACAAGCAATTCAATACATTTCTTTCTTTTCTTTTTTATTAATATTCAACGGATGTTCCATTAAGGCCATCTTGCGTTTGCCCACTGTAAAACTGGCATGTTTCTCGCAGTGAGTGATGTTTAGTGTTAAATCTCAAAATCAAGCCACATTTCAGGTTTTTTTTTTTTTTGGTTAATTTTTTGGAAGGTTTGAGTTTCACCTTAATATTGTCTGTTGACTAACCAGTTTATATCATCAACAGCACTTCATTTAGTCATCGCAGACTTATTTTGCCATTATTTTCTGTCAGGAGAAAGCTCCATTTTGCCAGAGATGTCACGCCATACTATGTTTGCACTAATGTCATTTATAGCGAATAATATTTTGTCTTGTTGGGTAACAAATGCTTACAGAGCAGATGGAAGTATAGCTCATTATAAATGTGTACATATATGGGCAAATATATTCCTTTGTATATTCTTTTATGGTGTTTTTGATATGCCACACAGTGTTAAAGCAGCAGTGAACATTATGAAGTGTCTTGAGGACCGTGTGAACACTCTGAAAAGTGGGATTGATCCTGAGGACACAGATTTGTTTTGTGTTTTTGCTGTTTTTTAAAAGATGCATTTCAGAATGGCAAATTTGTGTGCATGAGTACGTTTGATGTATGAGCAAACACAAATGACATTCGAAACATTCTGTATCAAGTAGTTTTTGCACAATTTTCTTCAAAGAAAATAAATTGAAATGTAGCTAGAGCAAATGTTGTTGTTTTAATTAATGCGATTTTTGTCTTTTTAATGGGTGATTTAACAGTTTCACAGAGTTTCTTTCTTGTTAAGAAATTACAGTTTGGTAAACTTCAGTTTTCTGGCTTCATAATTTTCAATCTGACATGCTAAACGCACAAAAAAGTTTTTGTTTACATAATATATGTGTGTGTGCTGTGTATATTTATTATGCATATATAAATACACACACATGCATGTATACATTTCAGAAAATGTTATGTTTATATATTATATTTATATATAATATAAATTATATGAATATAAATATATGCATGATTGTAAATAGTTCAAATATGTACTCTGTGTGTGTGTGTATACACTCAAAAAAATGCTGGGTTGAATATAACCCAGCTATTGGGTTGTTTTGACCCAGCGGTTGGGTTGTTTTGAACCCAGCATTTTTTGTATGCACATATTATGTAAACAAAAACTTATTTTGGATGCGATTAATCGTTTGACAGCACTAGTATAAATATATATATATATATATGTATATATATACATACATGTTTTTTTTCAGTATCAGTAATTGAAATGTAACTTGAATGTCATTCAGCGTTGATTGATTGTCAGTGATTCAAGTCATTTGTTAGTGTGATCTTAAGTTTGATCACACGATGGCGCTGCTGCATCATGTTCACAGAGGTACTCGTGCGTTTGGTGATGCGTCTCACACTGAGATCATAAAATTACATATTTGATTAATGCTCTTTAACGAAGGAGGACAATTATTTAATAAAGCTATACTAAAATAATTTTGGTAATAAATTCGATAAAGCGCAACAGTATTATTAAACCACCTTCATATGCTCTGGGGAAAAAAAAGTAATAGGCTATAATTACATAGGCTATGTTTAAAAACAATACGCAGAAAACTGGTAGGGTGACACGACATGGAATTTTAATTCTATAAATAATTCATATTTTGAAAAACACTAAATGATTCCCACTTGCGTAATGAGCACAGCGCGTTTTTCTTGTTTAAAATATTATTGGGTCTTTATTTCATCTCATATATTATTTGGAATCCGACTTTTTTTAAAAAACACTCCACTAATAATATAGCCCATCTTATTCTTATTGTTTTTATTAATAATTAAAATCCGCGAGAAAAGTATTGTATTCTGGTTACCTGTTGAATTAACATAAAATGTACATAATAATAATAATAGTAAGTAGGCTATTAATAATGTAGTTAATGTTTATATTTATAATAATTATGTCAGTATATACTAACATCAAGAATAAATAAATCTATTTTCCAGAAGTGTTTTTAAACATTGTAGCCAATGTAAGTTGCATGAGTGTGCAGCGTGGGAGAACGAGGGGACAAACTATAAATATAGTGACCCCAGGGGCCGGTGCACACGGCTGCATATCTGTCAGTCACAGCTATACAGCTTGGAAAAATAAAATGGTTCGAGTGAGAGATGCTTTGCGCCGTGTGTGTGTTTGTTTAAACCGGAGAGGAGCGCGTTTGTCTCAGAATGCATTCCTCATAATTGCCTTGCAGTTTATTCCCCAAATAACATATAGCTACTGTGATCTATAGCAGCAAATATTCGGGTTCTCGAGGTATTCACATCCTTATTTCAAACAATCAAATGCTACAGTGCTGTCATGCAATTGAAATATTTGGAATTTCGTTGTTTTTTTTGTTTTTTTTTCACATTCTGTATTTTTTGTACCTGTGTAGCCTAGGCTACCTCATTGCTAAAAGAGGAAACAGCCCAAAATGTATAGAAATCGAATAAGATACATGTTTTTGCAAACAGGAGTATGTGCAAAATATGTAAAATATTGAATAATATTGGTATAATTCCTATCTATCATTTTGATTTATATTGTGTTATCAACCATGCGCGACTGCGTGTATATCTTCCACATAAAAAGAATCTTTTTCCCCCCCAAAGACAGCCTATGTATTCTGAATCTACAGAATCTGTATTTCTTTATAACAGCACATGATATAGAAATCCGCCTGTTTTCTCTTAACTCATTTTTGAATAAAAAAAAAAAGCTAAAGCTTATGACCAGAATAAAAAAAATCGAATTCATAAGTCAGCTCTACTTTATTTGAATGAGATAAAGACGCTGTGAAAACTCAGGAGCTGGATTTGAGTCAACATAGGCTGTCTATATAGACTATCTATCTTCAAATTCGTCCGTCAAATCTGAAACATAGCTTTATAATTCCATGAAAGGTTTATCATATTTTACAGCTTAAAAGACACTTGAGGCAGCGTTTGGTTCCTCAGATCGTCACACAGACGGAACCCTCTGGAGAACCTCTGGACAACCTTCTGAAGGCGCCTCAGATACACTAGAATGAACTTCACTGTACATTTAAAGTGCCTCAAAGTCTTTGGATTCTAACGAACCGCTAGCCGTCTTAATTCCCAGCGCATGGTTCCCGTTTTGGGAATCAATTCCTAACATTCTCTTTAGCCTCTTCGATGACCGTCAACTAGCATTTCAAGATTTTTTTAAATTTGCGCGACAACTATAGCGAACGTTTATATAACGTTCTCTAATGGTTATTTTTAGGTCTCAGGTGCAAGATCTTGTGGATTTCAAGTTCCTCCTGCCTAGAGGTTTTTGCAAAGAATCTGAAGAACCCCAAACGGCGTCTTTTCATTTTAAAATCTTTAGTAGAAATTGAGTGCGCGTGCGAATATCAACGTGGATGCAGCTGCAATGTTGCACAACACGACGACGTGCAATCTATCCGTATTAACGGCTTTCTCGAGTTCACATTAAGCTTTTAGGTGTGAATAAGACGCAATGTTTTTATTGTCCGCGTCAAGAAGATAACTAGATGGATCAATACAGCCCCATTTTGCGGGAGGTTTGTAGAGTCTAACTCCAATCAGCTTCTTCTGAATGCTGGAGTAATGCCATCTGACAAACTGATGGAGTGGGTGGAGGAGAGAGAGAGAGAGAGAGGATGGCAGCTCTGGTTGGGCGGATCTGACACTGGTTTGCGTTCGGACCGCCTCTCCCGATCCCCTCCTTCAAACCTCTGGGGCTGCTGCGCTCGTGTTTAGTTCCCCTCTCATAGTCAAAGGAAGGATCGATTCCTTTGGGAAGAGACACAAATCACTTCAATTTGATCAAGAGAGCTACGGATACAGCCTCCTCTTGATTTAGCCACTTTTGAATATCTTTTTTGTTTTTTGTCCTGACAAAGAAAAATCGGAGAAAAAGAAGACAAGAGGAGAAAAGTTGTTAGGTCATGATGACATTTGATATGAGATCTGCTTGATCGCACCAGCTGCTCCCAGGAAACATTATCAGCAGCACAGAAAAGACGACTTGCTTTTTGTTTCCACTTTGAGTCTTGGTGACACCGGGATCTGTCCTGGTTTCCAAACTCCTTCCCATCTCTCTCTCTCTCTTTCTTTCAAGCGCGCGCGCTCTCTCACTCTCTCTTTTACGCACGGGAGGTGGGCACCTGAGAACACTACCAACGGGAAGAGAGTGCGAGACATCCCGGATTCATGTTTGGGATTCAGGAGAGCATCCAAAGGAGTGGGAGTATTTTGAAAGAGGAGCCCATCGGAGCCGGCATGAACGCAGTCCGAACATGGATGCAAGGCGCCGGGGTGCTGGATGCGAACACGGCCGCGCAGAGGTAAGAGACCCCCGGGGCTGCGACTGCGATCACCTCCCACGGAGCGCGGACCGATCGTGCTGCTGGCGTTTGTTTTGAGGAAACTCGATCCGGATTGTGGAGGATTAAGCCTTTGATGCGCTTTGCTTTGTCGTTTAGTGAGCTTTGATGAGTTCCTTTGGATGCAAAGTTTGGGTACTTTGCCAAAGCTCACCTTCTTTTGCATGCAGTCACATCTGGAGGTCCTAAGACCACTGGATTGAACATGCTGGAGAAATCATAAGAATAACAATCGCCTTATAATAGCCTAATAATAATAATAGCCTAATAAAATTAATTAATTAATTAATTAAGATTTCGCGTATACACATGTATAGGCATTTTTAATTCTCCATTCAGTGGGACTAGAAATTAAACATCCATTTTATTTCAATAACACGTCTATAATATCTGAAGGATGTTTTTAACACGGGCCTTTCTGCGTGTCTTCCCCGCAGTGGAGTGGGACTGGCCCGGGCGCACTTCGAGAAACAGCCGCCCTCCAATCTTCGCAAATCCAACTTCTTCCACTTCGTTTTAGCCCTTTACGACCGACAAGGACAGCCGGTGGAAATCGAGAGAACCTCTTTTGTCGGATTTGTGGAAAAAGAGAAGGTGAGTTTCCTGAAAGAGCTTCTTCAAAAAAACGGATTTTTCAGCACCACGATGTCACCGGGCCACTAAATAGCCACGATCGCATATGCCTTTATGTTTTTTTTTATTATTATTTTTAAAAGTGCATATTATATGCCCAGTAAACAGCAAAATCATGCACATTTGAAAACCGTTGAAACAATTCACACGTGAATATAGCCTGTTGAAATAATATGTGATCAGTATGATCCAAATTATTGCAATATTACCTTGAAATAAACATGTTTGGGAATTAAATCGGATAGTTATTTAATATGAACAAGGCTAATACAGATTAATTTAAAATGTAAGATTAAGGTTTAATATGCATTTCTTACATTCATAAATAAAATTCCCGAATAGGTCTGTTAATTTTGCATGCCTTCAAAACTCAATAACCTGTATTTTGTCAGAAACAGAATTTTCAACCATTTTAATAGAGCAAAATGTACATATTTATAAAAATTTAGGTCATGCATTAAATGCATGTAATGTTATATAAGTAATATCAGTAATGGCCTATAACTTACTATAATGCTATATATGACTAGCTACTTAGTGACATAACATAATACAGCTAAGAATAAATTAATTTGACCTCATACATTAAAATCAATTACTAGTTCTGTTTTGTTTAGCTATACACACGCTGTTTTAAAAAAAAAAAATTTTTATAACAAAAACAGTATTTGCGCTACAGCTGATTTTATTGAACAGGCCCAAACGATATCATTTTGTAAGCGCAGTAACTTTCCTCCCATTACTACCTATGTAGCGTATGATTTCAGACCTGTTGTAATATTATTTTCATGCACAGGAGACTACAGGAGAAAAGACAAACAATGGCATACATTACAGACTGCAACTTCTCTACAGCAACGGTAAGACATGCTCCTATTTGCGCGCGACGCTTTCATTGATCGTGATTTGCAATTCATTGCACTGAAATAGCAACAGTAGCAGGTGCTGTCATTAGAGATCTCAATTTGACGAAGATTGGCAGTGATTTAAATCAATAATTGAACCGATCGAGACTGTTTCTGTCTGAACAATTAAGCGCAATCAGTGATTGACTCCTCGACACCAACTCATTTTACTTTCTTCAAATCAAAGCATGGCTCTTCACAATGAATCAGTTTGATTTTAAAGCATTAATAATTCACTCAAGGTTTAAATCAATTAGAAACCCATTTCCAACCACGCGGTATTAATAGTTAATGTGTTTTTCTTGGAGGGAGTGTGAATTGATCGTGTTCATTAGTGTGTAATCTGACAGCCTGTCTATCATTTGTCATCTGGTCAGTTTCTAAATAAACCAGCTGTTAGTTCTGCCACCTCTCAAGCATATTGCGCACAGTGCTTTTGTAAACGTTTTCATCACTAGTTTCCATCGCAATAATTTCTGTCATTTTGAGTTTTGATTTTATTCATCAGTATTACAATTCAAAGTCGTTGAAAAGCAACGGCAAGTCGTGACTTTGGCACCATTTAGATTTGAATTTAAATAATTAAACTATATTCATTTTTTAAATTCAGTGTGTTTTCATAAAGAATTAACCATATAAATTAGTAATTAGAAAGTAGTATATAAACTGTTAATTATGATATGTTACATGGGCAGGTTTAAAGTTATAATTAGGCTATAAATTTTTTCCATCACAAAATATCTTCTCTAAAAAAATAATAGTTATTTAGTTCATGTATATCTTCCTCTATAAATATAGTATACGAAAATACTTTGTTTGACATATATGGCATATATTGTTAATTTAATATGTGGACATATTACAATACAATTAGGCTTGTGTTATTTCAGGAGCATTATGCTTGGTGCAATTACAGTGCAATGCAATGGCCGATTTAGAGATAATGAATGTGAATGTGTTTGTGGAAAATGTAATGAAAAGCACGTGCTGATGTCAAGTTTCTGTGTGTTCCAGGCATCAGAACAGAGCAGGATTTTTATGTAAGGCTAATTGACTCCATGACTAAACAGGTAAGGGTTCATCTCGTCCCGTGCACCACCATCTGCGCATGTCACCAGAGGCTAATTCATACATGTTGGGGCATGCATACATACTGTTTGTGCCCCATACAGATGAATCTCACAGCGGAGAGCATGCGTGTCTCCCAGGGGCAGTGTCACATTTTTACATGCATCATTGGATGTCCTATGGCCTCTTTTGGACTTTTTGTGCTCGACGGTTTGAAAGTTTGTTTGGTGTTTAACTGTGCGGCAAAGAGTGTATTTTTAGGGCACCCATATATTTTTTTTCCGGATTTTTCTTATCAGTTTTTTTTTTTTTTGCTACACTTGCATAGCTCTTTCTAGCCTTTTCGTGAACATGTTTGTGTTTCCCGTTGGTGTGGTTCACATGTCATGCTCGGCTGCTTTCTTCTGAACTCTTGCTTGTTTCATTTCTAGTATGTACAATATGGCAGATCTACATTATTAGTGTTGCCTGTTTCCTGTTTCCTGTTTGATTTTATCTGTCACCGAAGACACGTGTGGCCCTGGGCTAGTGTCTGGATGTTTTTTTTTTTTTCTGACCTTGGATCAGCCCTAATTAGCATGTCATGGGAATTAGCGATTAGCAAAGAGAAACATATCCGTGTTTATTAGCCGCCTGCTGCAAACTGAGAAAGGCTCCACGCTAGGCTCTTTACACTTCGCTAACGGTCGCTAACTTACCTGCGGGCGGCAGCTCCCTCTCCCTCCCGCCTAAGTTGCGTGGCGGGAAACATCAAAGCGCATTAAACCCCAGTAGCTGCCACTTTGACAGCGCTAGTCTGGCAGTAGGTAGAAGAGCTGTTGTTTCCTAACTATCTGCTTTGCTGCATTTCGTGGGAGGACATGGCACTTTTGAGCGAAGTGTCGCTAGAGCGCTGTTTATCAGTGTCAAGTTAAAAAATAATCACCCAGACGCCTCGGCTTCCCCCTCACAAATCTTTTGTAGTTGTTTGCCGGCAGTTTTCATGTCAGTGTTCTCGGAATATATTTAGCACTTGTATTCATTATTTTCACGTAGGTATTACAACACGTGTAATAGAAGTCACAAGGAATGAGATTGCGATCCCCTTTGCTGCCGCATTGTGTGCGGGAAGCTTTCAGATGTGAAGACAACCTATGGTTAAATCACTCGCTAAAGGGATCCGCTTAGAACTACACTTAAAGATTGGGGAACATGTGTAACGGCAGTCGGAGGATATCAAATCCCCTTCTCCAACGACAAGACAGCTAGTTACCTTGTAACAGCTCAAAAAGCACTGTAGCGAGTGATATATTTACCGCGCCAACAGCTCGGTCGGCTGTTGTCTTTGATTTCCTCAGGTGAATGAGAGCGAGAGAGAGTTCGGGATCAGATGTGGTTTCGCTCTGGGGCAGTCAGACCTGTTGACAGGGTGAAATGAGACCTGGCCACAGGACAGCTACAGGTGTCTCGGCCCATGTTGCGGCTCGGGCTAAAAACAAGCTTTCAGATTGAAGAGTAGACACTCTTGAGAAGTAAGTGCGGATGTTACTCCGCTGGCAGTCGTTATCGGGTTACAGACGACCTGAGTAATCTTTTGTGATGTTCGATATCCCCGTCGGCCTTCTGTAATCACTCAGAAGCGGCCGTGAGATGCTAGTTATTGGGCTGTGGAGTGAGTTAAGGTGCGACAGTAATGACATTTCGCAGGCCGAAAGGTCCATTCTCCGTCAACGACGTATGACGCACAGCTCACACAGAAAGTCACTTTCAAACCAAGCAGTTTTCTCATCGAGTTAAGGTGCGACAGTAATGACATTTCGCAGGCCGAAAGGTCCATTCTCCGTCGTCAACGACGTATGACGCACAGCTCACACAGAAAGTCACTTTCAAACCAAGCAGTTTTCTCATGACCTTTGTGCGAAATTCCCAATCGCATGGATTCCTGGCCGAATCACTGAACACAGAGCGCAGCGCTGATTCAAATTTGTTAGCAAAACTGTTACTTTCTAAGTGGCTGTGGGAACAAGTGCTAATCACAGAGGCTGCTACAGTGTTTCGTAATACTAGCAAGGCTAAAACACTTACACTCAAAACAGCTAAAGCAGCTTTAGCTTGGACTGTAATTAGTGTCCAGATTTGCTGTTATACTGCGGGTACAGAGCTTATTATTCTGTGGCCAGACTCATTTACTCCTGCAACTGCGCAACAGTTACGCTTGTTATTTTGGTAGTTACTGTCACAGGCAAATTATTAGATTCAGCAGATGCCGTAAACATCTCAGTGTTTTACATTTCAAGCTATAGTGCTAATTTACTGCATCTGTTGTTTTAGCAGTCGCCTAGCGGTTAGCATATGTGCTCCGAATCTGACATGCTGAGCTGTAGCGCATTTGTTGTTTTGTATTGTTTTGTTTTTCATGCTTTTAACATGTATTTAACCCAGAATACTTGAGTTTAGGCGGCTGAGGGAAGAATACTTCACATACTAAGATTCTAGCATGCTAATTCAAGGAATAGTAACGTGTGTTAAGTGCAAACCCCGCCCCGCAGTTTTCATTGGTCAGCTCAATCACTTGGTCACCTGTCAAGAAAAGTTTAGAATTCATGGATTGAGTTCAGAGTTCAGAAACATCACAAATGGTTCAGATTACGACAAGCAGTAATGTTTTTTATCATGATGTGCTATCGAGGCTATACCAAGGTTAACGTTAGGCGTTAGTATTTGTGTAGACAGTAAATACTGTGATTGACGTGACCAATGAAATCTTTAGAACTGGCAGTGGGGCGGGATTTGCACTTGACAGGTTTGGCGAAAATAGTCACACCTTTATACTGGGATTGTAACTCATAATGGTGCACAAGAAGGAGCTGGGGACGTGGGGGACTTATAGGTGTGAGTTTGACAGTTAAAACTGTGATCAGCAGATTCAACGCCGACACATCTGACAAACATAGCGCAGAGACAGCAGACCTCCCACGTTCCTCCCTCATCTATCCTACTTTTCCTTTTCCTCTCTCATTACCTCCTGGATTGTTTCTGTATTTAAGATGCAGTGCGAGATGTTCGTTGTTTAGCTTGAGCTAACTTGAGCTTGAGCTAAACTTAACCAGTGAGTCAGACCACGCCCTCTCTCCAAAACCCCGCCCTCCAAAGGCAGATCAAATGCAAAATGCATTGCGATTGGCTTGGCAATACACATTTCTTTTCACGTGGCTTTATCACTCTTTTAACCCATCCACTCCACAACTCTCTTCTTTTCAGCCTTGTTTTGTTCCCTGCTCTCCTGCTCAAATTCTCGCACCGTCTAGAAGTCCCTCAGATGTCGGTTAGCTGTCTCTAGAAACCCTGCGTCTATTCTCCTGTCTGTCTGCCTGCCCAACTCTTGCTCTCTCTTCCGCTTCTCTTGTTTCTCAGGCTTTATGTCTGAACAGCTGATCAGGGGTGGGGTGGGATACTTATTCGTCTATGTGAACGCTTCTGTGTGTGTGGGAGAACAAAGAGTGGAATCACTGCCAAGACAGCACCTCTTTAAAGGTAGCGCAGTGGCCTGGGAAAAAAGGCAGCCGTGTTCTTAATGGCATGCTAACAGATGATGCCAACTGTGTAGGAAGTAGGTTTCCATGTATTTATAGCGTCTTGTTTACTTGCCTTCGATTTCAGCCGTCACATCAAAACCAGTGAGGAAAACGCTGGATGAAATATGAAAAGTGTGCTTGGCGAGATGAAATATGTATTACAAGGCATATGAATGTTGCATGCTTATTAATGTGCCCTTCTCGCACTTTGGCACGCAGTTAAAGCTGCCCTAAATATCACACTTGTAACATTAACATAGGGTAATGTTTTACGCGCCACCTTTGCACATTCGATGTTCCTTCTAAATCAAAAAGAATCTATTTCCTGCGTTTATCACAGCACTTCCTGTTCTTTGATCGCAGTAAAAGCAGCCAAGGCCTTTAAAAGTTATCAAGATGGCACACTTTAAGAGCCGGTAACCTAAAATTTCCCTTTTGAGAGCGCTTAATACAAACAAAATATACAAAGACTAATTCATCTTTATATGAGTCGCTTCCATTTGTATGACTGGAGGAATTTGTGACTCTACAGGCAAAGCATTGTGTTTCATTCACTGGACAATTTTGAGATTTTGAGACTATTAAACTTCCATAACAAAAGTCTTGTTTAAGACTAGTGGAAAGAAATATTCAAATTACACATTTAAGTGTTTATTTTTATTACACTTTCATCTGTAGGTTTCAATTACAATATCTTTAAATATATTTTTCTTTCTGAGCCAGAAATCTCGACTTCAGCAGCACTTGCATACACCTTTACTGTTTGTTTATATCATTTGCTTGATTTATATAACATTTTATTACTAAAAAGATTTTTTTTTCTATTTCCCTGGCTGTTGAAAATATGATATGGTTCATAAAGTGACAAAAAGAGAGATCCTCTCTGTGAAAGCCTGTACCTGAAATATATAAATAAATAAATAAATAAATATTCAGATTTTGGCTATATCCAATATTACGATTTCTGTTTTGCAAATGTATGCAAATTAGTGTATATTTAATTAGACATTTCCTCATTTGCATATTAAAAAAAATTCAGAAAACTTGTAATACAAAACAATAAATTTTAATGTATTGTGATTTTTAATCTATTCAACTGTTTTTTTGCTTTGACAAAAGCAGGATAAAAAAAAAAAAACATGAAATGTTATTATGTGAGAAAAAAAAACAATAATGTGCATTCATTAAATACGTTGGGTAAATGGTTGACTTTAATGGCGGGATACTACCCGAATTACATTTTATAACAGATTCATAATATTTTATTAAGGCATTAAAGCAAGTGGAAGAATACCGCTGTTCCCGAGCACAGCTCAGCCAGAATGGGCGAAGATAGATTTGGTGTTTATAGATAGAAATATGAAGCAGGTCGTTGGGCTGGCAGACAGTGATGCATGCTGTGTACTTCTAGAAGACCTTGGCCCCCATTCCCTCAAAGTGAAAGAAAACCATCTGAACAAATGCTCCGAGCTTGCCAACTCCAGCACTGGCTGTAACAATATCGCTTTCAGTGCCTTTGTATAATGTAAAGTACATCTGAAAGACATCAAACAATGAGCCAATGTATCGTCTGTCTCTGGATATTTCTCCTGTCAAATGACCCTTTTCTTGGTAGATAGAACTTTGCGTCAGTGTTTTTTTCCCAGTTAAGGTCAATGTGACAAACTTTTTTGATGCTGGACAGGCTTGCTGAATTACACCTCCGTTACATGGCAGAGAGTAATGACTGTGCGTAACGGGACAGATTTGCTGCCAGTCGGTATGCCTACGAACGAGATCCCAGAATCTTAGCAAGGTGACACGCTTGGCGTAGTCAAACGCGGCACTGTTCGGAATGGCATACCATGTCCAACATTCAGCTCGGGGAGGAGGGGGGACACACAAGGCTTTGCCAGCCTGGCAGCGCTGTGTTTTGTGTTAAGGAGGGGTGAGAGCAAAGCCGAGAAAATTTGGGAGAAAATTGGGGGGCTGTACCAGATGGTGCACCGTGCTCCAGTCTGGCATCCCAACTGCTCTCTCGCACCCACCTCCTCCAGCCTCCTGCCTCCCCCCACCGCCCCTGTGCCACACGCCACTGATGGTTTGGCACGTCACATGCTAGCGTAGGTAGTATGCCAGTGAGCGCATAGGCACTTCACATTTCAATACCCATGAGTGAGAGATGCAAAAATGAAAGAAAAAGATGAGCGAGTGAGTGAATCGAAGAGATTAATACTGTCATATGAAACAGTAATATTGTGAAACATAAAATAACTGTTTTCCATTTGAATATATTTCCCCTCGTAATTTATTCCTGTGACATTAAATCTGAATTTTCAGCATCAGTCCTCAGTGTTACATGATCCTTCAGAAATCATTCTAATATGATGACAGAAGTAAATTTGTGAACAGTATTTATTGTTGACTTTCAGCTGTATTGTTTTTGATGAATATGTTTTCCCTTAGCCATAGGAATCACTGTCATTACCTCTCCCGCTTGTTAGAATCTGAGCAACCAGTTACGTTTCGTATCATCTCCTCCACCTACAACAGGTGTTCTTCGGCTTGTTACCCATCCCTCAAATCGTTCGGACTATTGTACATCCCAGCCTCTACCACGTTACCCCACCTCATCCCCAAGCCCTGTAGGGAGAGTAAATACCTGAGCGAGAAGTGAAACAATGAGCTCTTCTTATTGGAGCACCTTCATTTCTCACCTTCTGTTTTCCTTTACGTAATGAGCCACGTGTGGAGCCAGAGCTCTGGACAGCCTGTACAGAAATATTGGAACCGCTTAGATGATTCCCCACGACACATACTGATATTTATTAAATACAACCAGGCCAACAGGCTTTAAAGGCAGAATTATGCCTCCTCGCAGCGTGTTTCTCAAGTGGAATTGGCTTGAATGTGAGGGTGGATAATGTTTTTTTTGGGATGTTGTGTGGTCAGTGTCAACTTTCTGAAATATATATTTGGAAACATCTTCATATGTAATATGCTTCATTTAATTTTGATTTCCTAAAATGTTAAATAAAGCCCAAAGTCCAAACACTGACTTTTCCCCCCTCTCTGTTCAAAGGCCATCATATATGAAGGTCAGGACAAGAATCCGGAGATGTGCCGTGTGCTCCTGACTCATGAAATCATGTGCAGGTGAGACTTTTTCCATTACACTTTGTCCCAACCAGGTGCGATGCGACAAGTTTCTAAGTGATTCGTATGTCCTGCTGAAAATGCTGCGTGACATGGCACAATCACAGCAAATCAGAACATATTTCATATTTAAAAACCCCATCAAACTGTATAACACATTTTTTTAAATGATAATTATAAATAACAATTCAGTTCATTCCACTGGCTGAAAGAACTTCTATCTTTCTGTCGCTCGGCTAATGTCCGTCCCGTGCACTGAACGCTCTCTCCTCCACATCATGAGTAGACACGCCCCTTACTGCTGATTGGCTACAAGTTTGTTTGGCAACAAGAAATGATATAATCCTGCAAACAAAATCATTCAAGTCATTAATATTAAGTCATTCCTATTTTTAGTCCAGGACTGTAAATGTTTAAACATCAACTCTAAAGTTGCTATTTGGGAGTACACTAGCTAATAAACATGGACCGCCGCAAAAAGTCCCGAGACTTGCTACTGCCAATACATCAACAACATGCTGCTGTGAGCATGTAAGAAATTTTGCTGCTGCAAAAATAACATACATTAAATAACCCCATATAGCATACATGAATCACCTCGTAGCAGATCTATACAGGTGGAGCTGGGGAAGGTGGCGGGTTTCTGAAGCAAGCTGCACTGCTACAGCAAGCACTAGTCATATATTTGCATGTTGAGCAGCGAGCTCATTGGCTACCGATACAGGAGAGAACCAATCAGCTGTGCCATGTGATAATGATGTCATTAGGTCAGATTGAGTTAGACCTATCGGACTGCGCCATCTAGAGTTTCATGCCAGAACTCTGTATTTGGAATGAGTAGTATGTCCGAATTCACAGTACTCATAAAACTGTAGGCAAAAAGTACCTGGAAATTTCCACTGAGGTTCTGAAATACGCATCTGATGGATGCTTTACTATCCCATGAGGCCACAGGAGACGAGTTGCGAATGATAGTGAAGAGACGCAACTGGCACTCTGAGTCACATGACAGATAGTACATCTGGATTTCATTCATACTACATATGTTCATGCTATGCAGAACATTCTTTTCTAACATTTGCAAAGTTATGCGATTTCGGACACAGCTTTAGATTTTGATTTCATGGGGTATTTTATATTCAGGGATGTTGAACCAATGAGATTTCGCTCTGTGACCATCAAAACGTCCTGCTGCTTGTCACTTTACTCTGTTGCCCGGGACACTCTAGTGCTGTATTCTGTCTCAATTCATACTAATACTATCCAGGTCAAATTCACAAACCCCTAGTGAACAATAGAGAGATAAAAAAACAAGTAGAAGATGACTTTTTCTATCAAATGCTATGTATTTAATTAACATCCAAAGATGAATTTGCTTAAAAGTAGGTTGTGATGATCGACTCGCGCCTATTTTTAGTGGTATTTTAACAGTGCCGCCCACCCTTGTAACCCCCCTCCCCCCATGAATATCACCCTGATGCCTGGTTAATTAGGACAAGCAGAAACTCATTACTCAATCTGAAATATCAGTCTGCTCCGTTAACAAATGTGCCCTGGCTCACGTGGCATCTATGAAATATATGCCAGGTTTTACCAGCAACGCATCACGCAACTTAAAGGTGTTATATATGCACTTTCGCAATAAAAAAGAACCAGATTCTTTTTTTTTTTTTACTGTTAGAACTGACAGCAAATGTATACACAAACTGATGTAGTCTTCACCCCCCACCTGCCAAATCAGCATTGATAGGCAATCGTGTATGTGTGCGTGCGATAGCTTGTATGTGTACCTTCAAATGCTGCCGCAATTATAAGCAGAAAATTAGGCTGTTCACCATTAATCAGCTCCACTAATTGCCACGCACCACCATTAGCCATATGGTGCCATGCCAGCTTGCAAGTACGGGACAAAAGTGCTTATTCCTATCATTTTAACAACCTAGGGGGAGAAAAAAAAAACAGGGAATGTGTTTCAGGATGTTGTTTGTCGTGAAACTGGCCAAAATTGTTCTTCTAAAGACTAAAGTTGTCATAACACAAATCCAATGTCATGAATCAAAGGAATCATGGAAAGGAAACATATGTTGGAGGCGTGTGATGGTAGCCACGTTCCAACGTTGACAGAGCCGACTACATCCTGCTAATTAGATGAGCCCATTTAGACATTTCTTCAAAAGCCGCATCAGGAAGGAAGCGTTAAGATCTAAGATGCGATTTCCTTTGGGTGTCCTACGGGACGATCTTGAAGAGGATCAGGAAAAAGATTATAACCTTCCCAACCTCCCAATAAGCTAATATAGGCATGCAATAATTACTTGCAGTTGTATTTGCTAAGGCAAGTGCTTATTATTTTTTCATACTTAGTGATAAGTGTTTTTTCAAATATATAAACTCTATAAGTGCAATATAAGTGCTACTGACCTCAAATAACTTATTTTTGATAACCACATGAAGTAGCAATGTGATAATAGGCTCAATATTGTGTCAGGTTTTTTAAAATTTATTTTTGTTTTGTCCAGATCTATTAATTCATTAAAAAATATATAAAAAATGCAACACATATATGCAATGACTTTAATACGCATATTTCTTTGATGAGCATGTTTTAATGTAATTTTATTTAATTTTTTATTTTAAACTGGAGACAGAACTGCTTGGCTGGTTATTAATATATATATATAACAAAAAAAATTGTCATGTGGTGCAACCAACATGCAGCGAGTACGCCTTGAAGACCTTTATGGCTGTGTTAAGGTCAATAAGTCTTTTAAAATATAGGATATTTTAATCTTTTTATCACAAGTCATTGTTATAATAGGTTATAAAATGTCATGTAGTGTAGCTCCTCAAAACAATTATATTTATGAATTAATAATCCATGATGTTTGTATATTTTAAATATTTTTCAAGGTAAAAAATTATCTACAACAATATTTATTACATATTTATTTATATATATATATATTTTGAAAGTTGTGTACACGCATTAAAGGTTTAGGAAAATATGTTATTACTTTTTACTTGATGGTTATATCACACAGCATTTTTGGTCGTTACATTTAATCCTTTGTTGTAAAAAATAATTGCTGCGATTGGTTATCACAACTTACAATTCAACATTGGAATAAGTAATAATGTGTTGTTTCAACTTAAAGTGTTTATGCTTGATGTAAAATTATGTTTAGTTTAGTTAGATTGGATATCTAAAAAAACAAAACAGTAAATTTGAAGTTGTTATAACTAAATGTAGCAATTTTTTGCAGTGTGTAAACATTTTTCAAAACCAAATGAGAACAACATGAATACTGACCCATCATAGACCAATTAACCATAAAAAAAATGCAAAAGAAATGCACTCTCAACCACCATAAGAAAAATGTAGTTAACAATATTTATCTTTAATTGTTTTGAATGTGTATCTATAAACTTGAATGCTCAAGGTTCGGTGTATCAGGAGCTAAATTGTGTCTCCCATGGGCGCTGCCGGATTTGATCATTAGGCTCCCACAAATCTTCTTCCTGCACTGTATAAACACACACACACACACACACACTCAACCACCCACAACACTCTTGCATCGTGCCGGCGAGTTTTGCATTAAAAAAAATGTAGTTAACAATATTTCTTTATAATTGTTTTGAATGTGTATCTATAAATTTGAATGCTCAAGGTTTTGTGTATCAGGAGCTAAACCATGTCTCCCATGGGCGCTGCCGGATTTGATCATTAGGCTCCTACAAATCTTCTTCCTGCACTGTATAAATACACACACACACACAGAGGCACTGCAATCGTTCGTTCCAGTCCTTTGGGAGGACACTGACCTAGTTGAGGAAGCCTTGCAGAAGGAGGGGCGAGAGAGATAGAGATGTAGATGTAGATAGAGGGAGAGAGAGAGAGAGAGATTTTAGTCTTCTATTCATGATGAGTTTCTAAAGAAAGACATTCATCATGCATACCTGAAGAAGGCTCCGTATTATTCAAATATTCAGTTATATATATATTTTTGAAAGGTGTGTACACATACTTGCATAAATGGTTTACGGAAAATGTTATTACTTTTTACTTGATGGTTATATCACAACATTTTTATAGTCATTATATTTAAACCTTTGTTGACAATGGTGCACTGTAAAATTGATTGCTGCGATTAGTTATCGTAACTTAAAATTCAACATTACAATAAGTAATAATGTGTTGTTTCAACTAAAAGTGTTCATGCTTGACTTACAATTATGAGTTTAGTTTAGTTAGGTTGGATATCTCAACAAAAGCAGTAAGTTTTAAGTTGTTAAAACTAAATGTAGCGAAATTTTTTTGCAGTGTGTAAACGTTTTCAAAACCATATAAGACCAACATGAATATTGACCCAACACTGACCCATTAACCACACAAAACTATATAACAACGCAATCTCAACCACCCACAACACTCTTGCATCGTGCCGGCGAGTTTTGCATTAAAAAAAATGTAGTTAACAATATTTCTTTATAATTGTTTTGAATGTGTATCTATAAATTTGAATGCTCAAGGTTTTGTGTATCAGGAGCTAAACCATGTCTCCCATGGGCGCTGCCGGATTTGATCATTAGGCTCCTACAAATCTTCTTCCTGCACTGTATAAATACACACACACACACAGAGGCACTGCAATCCCTTGTTCCAGTCCTTTGGGAGGACACTGACCTAGTTGAGGAAGCCTTGCAGAAGGAGGGGCGAGAGAGATAGAGATGTAGATGTAGATAGAGGGAGAGAGAGAGAGAGAGATTTTAGTCTTCTATTCATGATGAGTTTCTAAAGAAAGACATTCATCATGCATACCTGAAGAAGTGTATTATATAAATCACATACACACGGTTCCTCATGAATAAGCATAGTACATCTCATGATACGACCTGAACGTTTGTAGTCCGTGAATGAATGATAAAGTCTATTGATACGTCTAAAAACTGTGTCATTGGAGAAAATAGGGAGCTGGGAATGAGGTAACAAGAGAAACCGTGAGGTGGGAGGGTGGAAGCAGAGAGAGTTGTGGGAGGAAGAAAAACTGAAGGGGGAAAGACAATGCCAGGGGTGTCATGTGACAGTTTTGTCCCCAGCCCTTATTCAGTGTCCTACTGCCATCTGTGCGTTGGAAATGTGATGCCGGTGGTCTCCAAACCGCCGCTGAAGCCCCCCGCACACCTTAAATTCTCCTCTCGTCATTCTGCTAAACCTTCATCACCTATGCAAATGCAGAGAAGGTCTAGCAGTCCCAATTGAAAGTGCTTAACGTGTTAACGTAGCGTTAACAAACTCCAATACACAAGGTGGCGATAGAGTTACAGTTTAGCTTTTAGGTCAACAATTACTAATTGCTTTCTTCATACATGTTATTGTGCAAGATTCATCAGTTAAAATTATTCTGAAGAAAAAAGGTCCTTCATCTATTCAATTTTAAGCCTCTGAAACGACTTTCCTTTTTGAGTGATGTCACCAAGCCCCCGTTTAAACCCCCATCTGACTTTTGAGTTAAATGACTGTTGGATAAAATCTAGTCTAGCTTGCTTATCTAAGCATTTACATTGAGGTTCTAGCATTGAGTATGTTTCTTTGTCAAAGTGTTATACAATAGAATTGTGCATGAAACTTAATGGACAAAATACAAATGCAAAGACATGAAAAATATGACTTGCTAAAATAAAGGTGGTTTCGATTTTACTTACGACATAGGATGTCTGATTTAAACTCATATTTTCTTTTTTTTCAGTCGCTGTTGTGACAAAAAGAGTTGCGGGAACCGCAACGAGACACCCTCGGATCCCGTCATCATCGACAGGTAGGAAACTCTCCCTCATTAACACTTCCTGAAAACATCTGATACTTTCATTGTTATCGTCATGCTGTTTGAGGCTGTGGTTGACGTCGCTTTTGAAGCAGTTCTCAGGACACGCTGGAGTCTTACGGCCGTCACAGTCTGTTGTGTGTGTACGTTTGAGTCACTTGTTAGTTAAATGCTCTGTCATGTTGTTTCTTTTGCTGCTATTTTTTTTTTTCCACCATGTTCTTTTTGTTGTGGGTTGAGGATTGGCTGAGCCCAAACACTTGATATTAATGTGCTTTTTATTGCTGTCTTTGCCTGAGTAAATTACAGGCCTAACGGCTTTAGTCAAAGGCTAGTCTTTGTGTTAAAAGTGTTTAGTGAGTAATTTCTCTTGAGAACATGTTTGACAGTAAACATGTAAGCAATTTAGATAATATCTACATAGTATGTATTTCAAATTGAGATCTGGCCCGGTTCTGGATTATGGTTCCCCCTTAAGAAGTAAAAAAAAGACAGTGTTCTCGGTCTTTTTATTCTGTCTTAATCAAACCCACATGTATAATGGGCCGTGAAACAATAGACGCCAGAGACCCTTGGCCCCCCCTCATCCTCGCTACCCTGTTCTCGCCATCTCTCTCGATCCCCCGGGGCATCGCTTTCTTTCACCTAACATTCGTCTCTTTAAATCCAAAATTAAACCCCTGCATCCTTTATGAATGATGTAATTGTAGTTGTAATAACGTTAGCATTAATGCTAATAGGATTCTTAGCGACGCTAAAGATTTCACAGTCCTTGAGGTAGTGTTTTCATTGCCGTTAATGTTGTTAGCTTCAGGCTAGCTGTGTGCAGTTATGTGTTTTGCAATGTGGAAGCTATTAGCCGACGTCTAAGGGCATTTATTTTGACAGGTCATGGTTCTCATGGGTTGAACAAAACAATCTTTTTCCCATTGTTGCAGCAACTGCTACGCTCCATGAAAATTGCTAAACGTTCCTTTGAGACAATATTTAGGCACACGAGGTGAACAAATCAAGAGCTGCTTAGCCTATTTGAGGAAAGTCAGCACTGAATCACGTTTCATTTGGTCTCGCTAAAAAGGCCCTTGCTGGAATATATGCAGCTTCCCAACTTCCCAAGACCCCCTTTTTTCCATAATCTGCCCGTAACACTGGGAAAGGCCACAAATCAAGGGTATATCTCAGTGAGAATCTATTGCCGAAGGGGGGAAATGACTTGAGTTACACCACATGGAACGGTGTGTAAGAGTTATTGTGTGCAGATGACCAGACTAGGTTGATTTGTGACGTTTGTCAAAAGACCGTTCAGGCTCATTTGTGCAAATTAAACCCCACTGAGAAGAAAAAAAAAATGTTTCCCACGCTGTCAGCTCTCCTGGTTCTGCTCTGCTTGTTTACTTCAGTTTTAGACAGCAGTCAGTAAGGAGCTGGACAGTTGCGGCTGTTCGGTTTCAGCCACTGACCCGTTCCTGCAGAACGGACTCAGGTGTGACTGGAGCTGCTCAGCCGACCGCGCTCGGACACAACAGATCTGCCGCCCCCCTTCATACCTGGCTCACGTGTTTGTGGGTAGCCGACACAGTTTATGCTTCACTTGACCAGAACGGGTCAGAACTCTTGGGAGCCAGCTGTGGCTCCCTTATACACGCTCATGCGCCTTTAAACCTCACTGAGCACACAGGCTCGATATGAACAGGCTGATGAACCTGCTGGAGGATCTCATGTGCATTGGTCCCATGTGCAGTGAAAAGGCCCACTAGAAGGTCTTGGTAACATCGAGGCCATCAAAAACTAAACATGTGTACTACATATAGGAGCGAATCTTCAGGCACCTCATCTTTCAGTTTTGTTTTAGGGAATCATAATAGTTCTCAATTCAGTTTTTGTGCATATATATATATATATATATATATATTATTTGTATTGTCGTGCAATTGTATTTTCTATGTAAATGCATTTATAACACTGTTGTTCTACATTAGAAAGTGTGTAAATGTGCCTTGGCATGGCATATATCCAACCTCTGTGCTATCATTTTAGCATAAAGAAATGTTTCAACTTAGTGTAGCAGATGTTGCTGATTTTTTATATCTGTATTGTTTGTCCTGCATATTTGTTCTTTTTTTAACTACAATTCTGATTATGAATTTTTCTGCACTGATGCAGAATTGTGATGCATTTGTGCTGCAATTTTCCCCTCCCGCACTTAATAATCCTCCCACATATATTTCTTTGCATATAAAATCTTTTTTTTTTTTTTCATAAAGGTGAGTGTTTGGATGTTGTGATCTGATCTGATTGTGTCACTCCTGATCTCTCGTCGCATGTTTCTGCAGCCCAGAGAAATGGGTCATGCAGGAAAGAACAAAAAAAATAAAAATAAAAAGGTGAAAAAAAAGAAGAAAACAATCAAATTTTGGTATGTATTCTTGGCAGCTGCACATTTTCTCACAAGCTCAATGACAGCGTCTCGATTATGACTTATTATTTCTCCTAAATGCGTAACCTAAAGAAAAATAAATCCCAGTTCCGCCTTTTCCCTCTGAGTTATTTAGCTTGGTTAATAAGGGCTCATTAGCGCGCACTTCTTTCAACGAGCCGATTTGATTTCACACCAGTAATTAGTCTGGCTATGGTTAATTCTGCTGGTTTTGCATTGAGAGTGATGCTCTAATTAGATACGCAAAGAACACAGCTAATCCAAATCTGCGTTAAAAACACTAATGAACCCTTTATGCTGTTAAAACAACTAATTTCATATTTACTAAGTTTCAGATTGTAAACAACATCTGTAAACAAACAATAGCCACCCTCGTCATTTATCGAGGAATATATTTGACCGAATTGTCCGACTGCGGGTTGTCGTTAGTTCTTTCGATTTATTCGCACAGGCAGGGGGAATACCACAAATCATAACCGCTCACAGAATTCGTAATGAACTCCACTGGGCGCTTCGATTTACGCCACATGTAAAACGATTCCTTTCATACTTATTTGTCTGGATCGCTTTATTTGTTTTATTTGAACCGCTCCCTCTCGCATTCATGTATGTGTGTGTGTGTGTTAGCTGTATAACATTAGCGACTCCTCAGCCGGGCCATATGTTCCTCTCGGCCTCTCCCTCTCCCGGACTGACCTTTCATCGGCTCTGTAAGATTATTTCCAATACTTTAATCCCATCTCATTGACATGGACACAAAGCACACTGACATCTAATAGACGCCTCCTCACTTTCTCCTTTCTTTAATCACTTTCAGTTCAGGCCCTCCACCCCCACCTTCCTCCACTCCAACCCCTGCAGCCCTGGACGTCTATTGTTCACGTCTCATTTTATTCCAGACCCTCCCGTCTCACTTCGGTTTATGTGCAGGGTGCCAAAAAAGCCTCGGATAAGTAGCCGTGTCCCTAAAATTAGCGTTAGGAGAAACAGTTTTTATTTTTATTCAAAGGGAGCTGTGTACTTGCTTTATGCGACGGACGGTAGCATGTCAATCGAAATCCTTTCCTGTCGGCCCGTTTCAAACATCTCCACTTACCAGCCGCCTATTATATCTGTGATGTTAGATCCTCTGGCGCAGGAGGGGTACAAGAACGGGTGTGTGTTTTCTCGAACGCACCACCAGAAGTTACTTGAACGCTCTGCCGTCGGCTGTTAGGATGTTTCATCTTCCCCTCTCAGAGGAAGTAGTTCTCTATCCACTCTGGGATCGCGAGGGCTCTTGCTCTTGAGGGATGTCAGAAGCTGTCAGAGGGGCCGGCGAAGAATGGAATGCGAAAGTTCCCGTGGATACCGTGGGACTTCCTGTACCCCCAAGACTCGGTTCTCAGCCCCTCTTGGCTGGCCTGACTCTCAGCGCTCAGAGCTCAACATCTGGATCTCTGTTCTCTAACCAAAACAACATTCACAGAGCTGATGGAGGGAAATGGGTCACCATGCCCTTGAAATTTACATTTAATGGCCTGCTGAAAAAGTGCAGCTCTAAGCTAAATGTTCACGGCATGCAGGCAAAATAGATCTCAAACCGCATTAGCTTGCTGTACATGATCATGATTCTTTTTTTAAGAAATATGAAGAAGTACAATTTTTACCTGTTTTTGCCTTAGAGTTAAAAAACTTTTTTTTTTAAATGTATGTATATATATATATATATATATATATATATGTATATATATATATATATAATATAATATAACTTGCTGTGCATGATTATTTTGTAAGAAATATGAAATATGATCAAGTAAAATTTTTACATTATTTTAGGTCTGATGTTGATTTTTGCAAATTTGGACACATTTAGGAATAATTCAGTGTTGATAAAAAATCAAACTATGTGACATTTATTTCAAAGAAAGATAGCCAAAGCACTTTTCAAGCAAAACATTTTACAAAAAGAAGCATGTTAAAGGTGAAGTGTGTAATTTTGGCATACCATATAACAGAAGCCAGTTTTTACCTTAAAAACAAAAAAAAAAACAAACAAAAAAATTAAAATAAAATAAAATAAAATTTAAAAAAATTATATATATATATTTTTTTGTAATTACGACGTTATATCTCACCGTGGCTTGTAACTGTTATTGCACTTTTATTTCTCATAATTGTAACTTAATTTCTCACTAAAATTGGCATTATTTCTGAAAATTTCTGAAAATTGGGTCTATATCTCTCAATTGCGACTTTATTGATCATTCTTGTCCAACACAACCTCATGGCAATTTGTTACTATTTAATATTTTAACAAATTGGTGGCTAATTCATATGATCTCATTTGTATGATTCTAAAATAATGAATTATATTTAAAAACTCCCCCTGACTGGTTATCAAACATTATCATGTTTATAATTCATGTGCTGAACTATACCTGTGGTTACTCCTTTGCGAACTTCATATCGACTCCACTAAAATCCCTTGACTCCTGTTAAAATCTTTGCAGAAATGAAGAATGTTAGTTCGGTGAAAACCATGTCCATCATTTGTTTACAGATGTGTTCTAAT